GGAATGGACCTTTTCAGATCCATTGTTGGCAATTTTCATTTCACATAGCACCAACCAAATATGGAAAGATCTAGTGGTTAAAAAGCATGACATAGAAAAATGGAGGAGTTGGTCAAGTAGCTTCAAGACTGCTCAGGACTTCCACACTTGACTTAGGAGGTGTAGTTCAGTCTTTGCCATCTTTTTGGGTAAAGGAAAAAAACCACAGCAACATGAGCACCTTGGCCAAGTTGATGCTAACTTTTCACCTGCTGGTTTTGTGCAGTTTTACTCCCACCAGGGAATGGAGATTGAGCCAACGAACAACCTGCAATACTAAGTTTTAATCATAGATCGCCTTACCAAGAATATAAACAAGTTACCTGTAAGCAATAAGCTCCATATCCCTCCAGAAATCCTTTGGTTGAGGCCACCAACTTCAGTCATACTTTAAAGGACTTCAGTTCTTCACAACTTCAACTGCAACTTCAAAGTTGCAGTATTCACCACCCAGCTCTGAGCAGCTGAAGTAAGATGTGAGCATTTTTCTGTATGCATCATGCTATGGTTTGGGTTTTGTTTTTTTTTTTTTACTTTCCTAGCACTTTTCAGAACCACCTATGCCAACAAGCATTTTTCTTCTATATTATCTATTCCTCCTGAACCCATTTAGGCAGCTAGAAGAGTTGTACCCTGCAAACCGCAGCAGAGACTGACCAAACAGGTCAGACTGGATCCATAAGGAAAGAGGAAGCTTTATGCTAGCTATGATCTGTAGCAGGTTGTCTTGAGCTATTAATGTTCGATGGTTCCATGATTGAAGGGGCTTATTTTCCTTTATCGCAGACAGGACATCGAGCAGCAGCTGGGCTCCCTGATCTTGGCAACAGACATCAACAGGCAGAATGAGTTTTTGATCCGTCTGAAGTCTCACCTTGACAATCAAGATTTGAGGCTGGAGGATGCACAAGACAGACATTTTATGCTTCAGGTAACTTTAAAAAAATCGTTTTCCACTGTTGTTTTTTATTCGTTTTTCAAGTCACAGTATTTCCTAGTATATGTTAGAATAGCATATGATAGTGTGTCTGGACATCAGCATTTCCTTACCTATCGCCTTCTGCCACCTGGCATGTCAGGCAAGCGTAAGGTGCCTCCAGTATTTCCTTATGTAATTTCCTTGAGTTAAAAAGCTGTGAATGCAACAGATACAGGAGAGTGTCAAATGCTGAGAAATGAAGATAAGCCATTAATTATTTTATTTCTCGACTGTGGCTTCTCTTGCCAGGTAATGATTCGATTATAGTCTCTCTTCTGGCAAACGTCACATCACTGGTGTTATTTTCTGTCACCGTGCAGGAGACCCTCCCTTGCCAGTGTTCTTTCCAAGATAGCCTGACATCAGGTGCCCAAGTCCCATTCCTGTGATGGATGTTCAGAAACTGCCTCTGCAGAGACAGCTGTTGCCATGGCAGCAGGTGCTTCTCTAGTGGATCTGGCCAGCTAATGAAGAATCCATGCTTTATTTAAAAATCAAATAGATTCAGACTGGTTCTTCCAGCTAAGCTGCAGTCATTAACAGGCTCTTCAGAATAAACCTCTACCTATTAAAGCATTATTGTGATTAAAGTAGCTGCATATACATGCTTCTGTGGAGAAATGATATTAGTTTCATTCTTAAATACATAACGGAGTTTAAGTAATCGTTGTGATTTATAAATCAAACATCTACATGTTACCACTTCATTGAGGTTAGAGGAAAGGTGACAGCTGCAAGGAAAGATGTGCTGATCTGTTATTTCTTCCCCCTCCAGCAGCATGGGAAATGTAGTAATCTGCTCGCCTGTCCTCCATCAGACATGGTCTTTTGTCAGATTCCTGCATGGACCATGCAAGGCAGGATGATGGGCTTATCATATTTCTGGACAGATTAGGCAAGAAAGTTGTGCAAATGCCAAACGCAGAGGGATTACAGATCTCAACTATGGCAAAAAGTTTCTTATGCATTTTCTTGAAGATAGTAATTAGGGCATAGACACGGTGAGATTTACTTATCTGGTGGATTAGTTGTGGAATAAGAAAAGAAAAATTATCAAGAAATCTTGATTGATTGGGATAAGTTATAGAATGTTTGAAAGGTCTTTGTAATAGTAACATTAAGGCTAATCAATTTAATCCAGAGAGAAAAGCGACTTGGAGACTTCCTTTCTCCAGTTCACAGGTCTGAATTTATACAGGAAATATTTCTTATGTTTTCCTCCCGGCTGCCAGAATGATTTCTGACCTCTGTCAGGCTAACTGACTGTGTTCAATCTGTGAAGAAATGAGGCACATGACAACTTGTTCCAAGGCAGTAAGGCAGACTATTACATGGTTTACTTTTCTGAAGCAGTTACTTGATTTTAAAAACCTCTTGCCCTCCTGTACTCATTCCCCTGCAAAGCACTTAAAAGTACTAGTTAACTAAGTGAAACCAAGCCAGGGCAGTGCGGAGAGCCCTGTGCTTAGCTTTGTAAACAAAAATATGCAGACATTAAGATGAAGTGTAATTGAAGTGAGATGCAAGGTCACTCACTGAGACCGCAGAGAAATGATGCCTAAATACACCAGCTTGGCTCTTCCCTTCCTTGTCATCAGCTGTGGATGCTGAGCCAGGCAGTCAGCAGGAGCCAGCCTGAGGCTTTTGTTGGCTTATTCCTTGCAAGGAATATCCAAAAGACTTTGCAGCCTTGGAATTTGGCCCTCCTCTTGTTCTCACTACGGTAAAGCGGAGGACTGAATGAAAGTTCTGTTTGCGGCTTAAGTAAATGCTCTTTCCTCAAAAGGCGTATTTGGGTGAGCCTGAGTCTCTAAAAGGTGATCTTAACCCTTCCCAACATCACTGGGAGTTTCATGGCTGCAGATTTACTGCTGAAGCACGGCTAGACAATAGTTTCTTTTCTTACTGCTACTTTTCTTCTTTGCTTTCAGATTGCACTCAAGTGTGCTGACATTTGCAACCCTTGCCGGCTCTGGGATCTGAGCAAACAGTGGAGTGAACGGGTCTGCGAAGAGTTTTACCGGCAAGGTCAGCCCCTTTGCGCACGGTGGTCCCCTTTCACCTCAGCTTTCCAGGCTTTTTGCGTGGCGAGACAGAGGTAGCATTCAGCCTACCCAGGTTGCCTTGAAATCTCCCTCAAGAAGGAGCTGTTGAAGAGATACTCTGCCCCGTTTGAAAAGTGGGAAGGGATACAAGAGCAGCAAGCCTTTCTTTGCCCTCGCTGCTCCTGGAACAGCATCAGGCAGGAGGGAGGGAGGGCTCTGCTGCGCCTCCGCGCTTGAATTCGGCAGGAGAGCCCACGGCTGGATTCTTCTCTGAGAGCCCTCCGGTCACCATTAGCTCTTCTGAGCTGGAACGGCACCAGGGCTACGCTGCACCAAAATCCTACCGCTGCCCACTGTGTTTTACCTCACTTCTCACGCTCCTGTTACGACTCCGATGGGAGCCTTACCCTCGCTGTTTCCCAAATATGACACATTCTTCTGCCCACGAATGCGGAGAAAGGGTTCAAACGCAGTTCCCAGCACACGTCGAGCTCTTCCAGCGCTGTTGAAAGGGCCAAAGCAGGCAAGCCAAAGCTCAGCTAGGACCTATTGCAAATGTTTTCAAACCCCTGCAGAGACCGCAGTCAGGCAGGGGTTTTTTTTTTTAAACACAGTAATTACACCATTTGGCTCTATCTGCATAGGCAAGGTCATGCTGTGCTACAACACAGGGTGCAGCAGAGTTTAATCACTGCTAAATTCTTTGTTCGGAGCATCCTGAGAGCCAAAGGCAAGTGGTACAAACATTGTAAGAGCGTGCAATGAAGCTCTCAATTCATTTAAAATTCTGCACTATAAAATCAAGCCACATTCAAGCTGGTACCTAGTACCGTTAGTCCATAACATTAGCGAACAAGGACAAATAGGTCAGCAAGTTAATTTTCAGCCAGTGTCAGCTTAAGCCGGTGAAATGTCTTTGACTTTGATGCTTTTGAAGGGACATAAGCAGCTTGTCAGATGCAGGTTTATTTAATCAGATGTATAGTTAAGGCATAATCAATATTCAGCACATGAGGACAGGGCCGCAGTTGTGCAGTACCTCACCTTTAGTGTATTGAGAGACCACGCTGAGAAAGACAGCACTCTCAACTCCTACAAATGTAGGCTTTTTCCCTGAGACTCAAGATTTATTAACATCTAAAATACACCTCTGAAAGGGGACACCAGACCACATAAGACCAGTTAGAGGCGTAACAGGGAGAAAAAAAAGAGTATTTCATGTGGGAGAATATACAGAAACTCTGGTTTGACTGTCACTGGTGGCTGTATAGTCCTGGTAAGTGATACAAAACCCAACATTAACTACCATGTACTTAGATACAATTATTACTTAAGAATGTTATTGTAGCCCTCTCTACCTCCTTACACACGGTGCTGAGGCTTGAAGGTATTTTTTTCTTGCTAAGGTTAGCTTTTGAAAACCATGGCTCTTATGCTTTTATTTTTAACTACAGATGAGGCAGATTATAGCACAATTAGTGCCATGTTTAATCTTCCTCCTGTAAAACATACAAAGTCTGAACATTTTTGTACCAAATGTTTCTAATGCCATTTCAGTAGACTCAGATCTTGATCCTTCTAGTCATCTGGTGTATCTACACTACATCTATTAGCAAATAAAATATACAATCAGGTACACTTCAGGGACCACCTGATGCCTACAGCAACTCCTAACACAAACTTTTCCTAGCAAAAAACTTTAACTTGTTCTCAAATGAGCATTTTAAAAGTCAAATAGGAACACAGGGTAAATAATGCAACTTGATTTGTTTGTATAAAACTGGAACTGGAAAGAAACAAGTTTCAGGAAAATGGCTAATGTTTAAGTAACATTAATGATGGGTTTCTCTGGAGGGGTTTTTAAATTGCTTGGAAAGTTTTTCCCAGCGTGAAAGTTCTCAGCATCTAATTCATGCAGTTACTTTTATAGCAACTTGAAACATATGAAACTTGACCATCATTTAAGTTGTTACCATGTGCGCAAAGGCAAATCTTGTCTTTGTCAATTAAATGACTTGTCAAAGACAAGAAGACGTTGATACACTTCAAGCCAGACAGATCAACCATTTTGAACCCAGAATACCTGCAGAGGGGACATCACTAGAGTTAGATACTCTTTTTTTTTGGCCAAAGGTTTTTGGAGGGGATAGAGGGGAAGAAGAGGACAGACAAATCACACATTTAGAAACATGATGAAACTCTTATTTTGTCTCAATTTTGCCCAGTTGTTCCTTTTGATTGTTTGTGAAGCTAAAAACATTTCCCTGGGTTGTTGTAAATATCTAATTAGAACTGAAAATACTCCCCTCACATTTAAGAAGCCATTGTATGCCACAGAGAGAAGAAAGGCAAGGCTTAAAACTGCACAAGGTATTTCATATGGGGCTATTAGAGCCCGAGTGGCACAATACCATTTAAGTCAAAACTGTCTGTTAACGGGGAGAAAAGAAGTTCTAAACAAAAGCAGTGGATTTAAAGCATACGCTTTCTGGGTTGAATACAGCGTTTTGCCTGATCTAGCAGGTCAGTCTTATTTATGGCAAAATTTCTTGTAACAACCCCTCACTGCATCCTTATTAGTAAATCAAATGAACAAAGTATTATTGCCTGCGGGCAAGTGGCACAACTTAGCTTGAGCGCAGTTCGTCTCCCTTCCCTCCCGTACTGTACATCGGAAAGGGCCTGTACCTCAGGCAGTAACACCCAAGAGCGTACCCTGGCAGCGGCTCGGAGGAGGCTAACGAGCACAAAGGATCAACATGTTGCACTCACAGAGTGTTTGTTTAAAAAAACACCAACCAACCTTAACTCATTTACAGCAGTCTTTGCGTGGAGTACTGATTGCATGGGGACATGCAGTCTCTCCAGCACGACAGGTGGTTGCTGTTTGGTTGGCAACAGCAGCTTCAGCTGGAGCAAATGAGACTCCCTGAGCTCGTTTTCTGCTGGATTCTCATATCCAGCTGGCCTGTGGTCCTCTGTGACCACTCCAGCATACGTATGACCATTGCTATTGGTTACCTTCAACTATATTAAAACTATCTCCTGTCTTAGCTATGTATGGAAGACTGTTTTGTGTGACCATGTCTGCATCTGCAGGACTAGTTTCTACTGACTGTTTATAAGCATCTTCTCGATGCCAAATCTGATCAGTTCTGCAGCAGGAGTGGTCTAGGGTGGCATCCGGAGTGGGCAGGCCAGGCTGTTCTTCAACAATTTGAAAGACTCCGGCGCCAGTCAGAGTAGGCACTGCCTTGTACGAGTCTTCAGGGCAGTCCCAGATTTGCACCTGGAGACCTCCTGCTCCAGTTAGTCCAATACCGTGCTATGGAGGCAGCTAGGAGTTCAGTCAGCCGCTTTGTTTCAAGTCTGTCCGCTGTCTCAAATCAGTCCCATGCAGTCCAGGGTTTCCTGGACCACCCAGGGAACTGGTGATGCAAGTTCAGTGCAACAGCACAGGCATAGCCCTGATACCCAGCTACACCACAATTATAAGAAAGACAAACTTTTAATTTCATCCTTTTTCCACATTTATAACATGAATTCCATAGCTCTTGACACATGAACATTTGTTGCCCGAGCCCATGCTCTGGCCCTTATTGGCTCCATCACGCTGTCCTTTAACAGCAGTTTCCACAATCACACGGTAGCAACTCACACGACAGTACTAATGGAGATGTATTTCTTCTAAAAAAATATATATTGCATTTTTCTTGTAGGAAGACATTTGAACACTGAGTAAATGAACTAGCATGTGCTAAAAATCTTTCATGTGAGAGAATCTATTTTAAAAACTAACGTCTTCAGAAAATGTAAGTGCTCACAAATTTAATGTTCATGCAAAAGTCACCTTTCCTTAGAAAGATTTTTCTTTGTATGCATACTCAGTTTCTATGATACTTAAAGTCCAAAAAAATGAAGGTATTTAGACATTTAACATGGTCATCATTGGTGCAAGATTCCAGTTGCTCAAATCACAGTTGCAGTCACTGTAAGAGTCTGACACAGGTATGGAGAAGAGATATAAGTTGCCCTAAGTTATTTTATCTTTTTTTTTTTTTTCCAGGTGATCTGGAACAAAAATTTGAACTGGAAATAAGCCCCCTTTGTAATCAGCAGAAGGATACAATACCAAGCATACAGATCGGTAAGTATTAGTTTCTTCTCCCCATGTTTATGGCACAACCTCAAAGAGAGACTTTTCTTTTTCTTTTTTTTTTTTTCTTTCCCAATCTAGTTGGTTTAACAGTAAGAACTGTAGGTACCGCAAGAGTCATGATTCACATTCCAAATAAAAATGTTCAAAAAGAAACCTATCCAAACCAAATATTCACTAGAAAGACAAAGGAGTCATTGCTTAGGGAAAAAAGGGGTCATTCTAATACCTGCAGAGAAAAATCACAGCCAACACAGTGATTACACACCGGTTACTTCCTAGTCTGGAATCTCCTCAGAGAAGGATGCTCTCTCTCACAGATGTTACTGTTACATACACAGATGGAGCCACATCTTGTCATGTGCACTGGTCAAAAGCTGTGCGTTTCAAAAAGAGTTGATGGCTGCTTGAGGGTTTCTTGATACTTCTTTTCAGGGTTTTTGCCATTTATATTGCTGTATTCTCTCGAGGCACTCTATGGGGCAAGTGCACTCAGGGAATGAATTTGTGCCTCACCTGCTGTCCTCTGTGTGTTTCCCCAGGGTTCATGACGTACATCGTAGAGCCACTCTTTGAGAGGTGGGCCCAGTTTACAGGCGATACCCCCCTATCTGAAAATATGCTAAACCATCTCAGGAGGAACAAGGCCAAGTGGAGGAGTTTGCTCCACAAGCAACACAGCAGTAGTAGGAGCAATGACCACTCAGGTCAAGTGACTGGCAGCCAAGAACAGACTTTAAATGAAGAAGAAACTCCTTAGTGGCAGCTTTGCACTTTTCCTTAGAGCACTGCTATCTCCGTCTTGATCACAGCAGCAAACAAAATCCTGGGGAGCTAGGAGCCTGTTGTCAAGACCGTGGAAAACGAAGAAATGGCAAAGTAGAAGCTTCAAGGGTCCTCACAAACAAGCCCACGGTTCTTCTGGGTTCCTTTCTGGATCTCTTTCGCGTTCCTCTCCCCTCTCTTCATTCTGCGCATGCCTGACGCCGTTCATCACTTCTGACCATGAACTGCCCGAACGCGGAGTCCCAGTCAGCAGTACTGAAGCCGGGCTGGTTACGGCTGCCACGAAGCAGGGAGGATTACTGAGAGAACAGGGGAGATGATAGAGGCACTCTTGGTTATATGTTCACTTACCACGAGTCATACTGTGACACATGTATATAGGCCCAGAGCGCCATAGGCTTTCCAGGCTGGCAGCTGGGCTGCACGTGAAACCACCAGCATCTCCAGCATCCAGAGGACGTTGGCTGAGTGAGACAGCGCTTACAGAGGGCAGAGCGAGTCTGGTTATTTTAGTAATTAAAACAAAAACCTTTTTAACTTTTGTATTCTGTGCACTAAACAACAGATCTATAAACCTGGACTGAAGTTACTCTCCATATACACAACTCCAGTGTAACAAGGCTCATTTTGGTAATCATTTTTATGCCACTTTGGATAAAAGACGGGCATCTTCTCATTGCAAGGAACAGTATTCCCTCACAACCAAAAGGGAAGGTGTTGTACAGTCTAAACCTTTGAAACACGAACAGATCTATCTTTTGAGTACTGTTTCAAGTAACATGTTTATATTCATATGTGTACATTTTCTGTAAATACAAAGCGCTACTGATTCCCATGCCAAAATACTGGAGTACTGTGGGATTGCTACCTGTAAAAACATTGGCACTGTGAACAGAATACTGTTAGTTTTAATACAAGAGAAAGCATTTGTAAATATGGTAGAGAGTTTATTAATATACACCATTGTTTGTGGATAAAAGCCTTAACTTTAGCATCCTTCATCTTCTGATAGCTGCCAAAATCATATGATCACAAGATAGGATTCTGAACTGCCTTTCCACGACCCAAGGTGTATCAAAGGTCATTAAGGAATGAAGTCTGGCAGGATAACTTCTTGAAAACTTCAAACACATTCCATATGGGTCCGTCTTGTTAATCCATGGCACCTTGCACATTCGGTCTAGGTAAACGCTTCACAGAGCCTGAAGTTTAAGACAAACACCAAAACCCACAGCAACACCACATAATTTGACAGTTCAACCCGATTACCATTTATTCAAGAGTGTGAATTTTTATTAAATAGCTTAGTGATCTACAAAGCACGACATTCTAGTAGTATTGGAGTCCAGTTGTTTTCTCGAGTGATGTTGCAGTGTAGCTGATTTTTTCCCCACATTCCCTCCTTAGATAGCCAGCATCGAAATGCATTTGTATTTTTCTTTTCATTAAAAAAACCAAAAACAAACAAAAAAAAACCCCCTTCAACTAGATCAGTCTGACTCAGTGAAGGAAAAAAATGCGTTGGAGTCGGACTGTTAAGAAAAATCCTCTTAACTACCATAGTAGCCGAGGAATTTTCTGTGGTCTCCTGTTTGTGAAAGATACATGGCCTTATCTATGCCATAAACAACCTCAGTTTGGATAGTCTTCATAAAACTTTCCTTAAGCTTCCATCATTTCAAGGAGATTGTGTTGTCGGACACAATCCTGCATTGCACCAAAGCAATTGTCCCCTTCTCCTCTGCCCTTAGAAAAAATTAATTGCATTCAGGTGAAGTGTAGTGTTGTTGTAAAGCCCCAGTACATCAAATCTGTGTAGCTGTTTTCCAGAAGGACCAGCAGATATGGCCCTATAATCACATTGGGATGAGAATATCTTAGAGAGACCAACAAAGAAAGAGCTATTTAAGTTGGTGTTTGAGAAAGATAATATTTATTCATAAAAGTGCAAGAGGAAATACAATAGATTTTTTTCCTCAATTATAGGGAATATTGACTTGATAGTCAAAGTGTTCAGGCTCATAAGGTAACTAATATGTTTAAAGGAAAATAAAAAGCTTAAGTTTTAGTAAAGGATGCTTTACTCTACTAACTCATTGGGCCTGTATCTTCAGAGAAGGAGACTGAAACCCAGTGAAGAAGGAAGGTGGAACTTTGTTCTCATTGTGAGAGCACAAAGCATCCTGAGAATAATGATTTTCTTCTCTACTATTTTGTAAGCTAAAAGTAGTAGAAAACATTCTTCTTCCTCCCTCTTCTAAATGGGCCTCACATATTAGAAGTACCATAACAAGCAGGGAGAGAGAGAGAGTTGTAATAGAATAAAATTATTTCTAACTACAGGACATAAATGTCTTTTTAACCACCTGATGGTGGGGGCGGGAGCATCACCACTTTGCAGATTTTTAGGTGTATCTTTCCTACTCCTGACAGATTTAGGACAATTATTAGGACATTACACAAGCAGTGTAATGTGCTACTTAGAAGCACTTAAGTACATACAAAAGGCTATAATTTCCCTTGTTTTGTCTTTTTACTAAGAAATGGAAGCCATTTTCCATCTAGTTCAAAGATTTTTTCAAAATGTTCTGAAGTTTAGTTAAACAAACCCGGTGTCTAGCAGCATAAAAAGCTCTTGACAGATAACATTGTTGAGCTGTTTCTGAGGAGCTTCCAGAAAATAGGCCCAACAGGAAAGCTTAGGTACAAATCAAGTTCTGTAATAGCTACAATAAAACCAAGTCCTTTTCTGTAATTAGAGCCTACGGGGTCCATTATAAGTCTGCTCTTACCAAGGTAAAACTTCCCAACTTCAGAAAGCTGCTCTTAAAATGAACAGGTTGTGGGTTGTTTTGGTGCACTGAACATACTTGCTAGATTTCAATCACTTTGTCTAATGAAGCACTTGAAATAGGTTCAGGGTGGCTCCAGAAATGCTTCTGTATTTGTAAGTCAAACCCGTTACACAAGTTTGGGTCCGGGCCAGATTGCCTCAGGTGCTCCTGAGAAAAGCGCGCTGAGATTTAGGCTCTGGCAGCAGATGCCCGGCAGCCAGATTTCTCTGGGGTCTGTAATGCAAAATGCTGCCGTTGGATTCCCTGTAGAAGCCACCAAACCGTACCCGATACAGCCAATCCAGCAGCACCAGTGCTCAGTATATGCAGTTGTGATACACATTTGGTGTCCTCTAGTTCGGAGGACATTTCTGTACTGGGATTTCTCCCCAGGATGCCAACAGAATGCTAGATGCACAGAACAGAAAAACATCTACTGCAGGTAATACAGGTTTCTGTCTTGACAGCCCTATTAGCCACTTTACAGAAAGCCCTTGTAAATTATTTTTATTTCTTATTGGGCCAGTGCAGCTAAAAGATTTCGAAGTTTTAAAACTGGGTTAGGTTTTTCATGTAAGGAAACAAGCAGAAAAGTGCTAAAAGCAGGAGTTCAAAATGCTTTTATGCCCCACAAATGCAATTCATTTGATTAAAACCTAATTTCTTTAAATGCAGATTTCATACCATCAAAGAGGCAAATCCTGTATAAATAACAACAATAATAATGATGATAAAAGAAAGTGGTGATAAGTTAAACTTTTAGGCTGGTTAAAATAATGCATATGTTAAGTAAAGATTTTACCTACCTTTGGGTTTTTAAGGGTCAACATTCCAGCCACCAGCCAAAAGAGGAAAAATGGGACTACTGAAAATGTGTACCTTTGAAATACAGACACAGAGGAGTAGCTGAAATTAAGTAGACTCTATGGAGGAAAAAACCTCCACATGATCTGCAGTATATCATCTAACCTAATCTACAACGTGGGTCAATTACTTTTGTTCAAGCTATTGGTTTTCTTGAAGAAAACCAAAGTCTACCCAAATGATCAGTGAGAAGGCTGTTACCACAGTAAATTAGATAAGCCTGTTTTCACACTGCATAGCCATCTCACCAGCTTTTCCAATCTGTGGTTGAAATTTCTGTTAAAAAATTTCCAACAAAGCAGAGACAGAACGTATACTAGCCCTCCTGAATGGGCTCTCCTTGGAAAGGAGAAACACTCAAGTAGTTATAATTTTATTTTCAGGTATCAGTCAGGGTACCAGCCATAATTTATAGCCTTATATTTTAAGTCACTCAGCTGAGTTGTCCATGAAGTACTCCCATTCCCCTCCTGATGCCAACATCCCCCATTCCTGGCCCACAAAAATCAATACTTCAATTTAAATTAAGATCCTGCAAATCCAAAAAAAGCCACCTCAAAACATAAACAAAACAAAACAAAAACCCACGGCAAGCTTCATGCCATGAATATGTATCCAAATTTCTTTGTTTGGTGCAAACTATTCTATTATTTGTTTCTATAATCCATCCAATATTTTAGGTACATAAACATTAAGTGCAGAGCATAAGTTTGACTTGGATGTAAAATATATTCTGCTTATCTTTGAATTCAAGATTGTATATGTCATGTTTATTGTAAAGCATTTTATATATACATATTCACATATCTTATACAACTCTATGGGCCAAACACTGGTCCCACCAACTTCACTGGGACCAAGAATCAGCCCCCATATGTGCGTATATATGCCATATGCATCATTCTGAAAGGAAGCACTAGATTGTGTGAAAATGCTGTGACTGCTATGCAGTGATGCCAAGAGACTTAACTGTATCTTTTTTAACATACTGCTGTAAGTATTCATCATGTCAAAGAATGACAACTAATAAAAAATAAATAAAAAAAAAATAAGTGTCCAAAGTTCTTTGGTAGAGCCAGTTGATTGAAAGCATCTCCTTAGTTTGCAGAAGACATTCTGGTTTGACAAGGCAGCAAAAGTTGTGCTGCATCCATCTTTCCACTGCCTCTCCCTTCCTGCCAACAGGATGATCACTGCCCTAGTGCACTGCTGCTGAGAAGAACTTTTCTCTAAATTTAGCCTTAGCCTTGCTGCAGGAATTTATATGGAGTTACCAGCAAGGAAAGCCTTTCCATATATTTCTCCTAAGCATATAGTAGAAGGATTTTCAAACCACAGGGGAAATGTTTCCCTATTCCAATATTTAAAGAGGGAGTTGTCTTCTACTATTGTTTCCGTTCCAGTAATTAGTTCTTAATATCATTGGTCAGTTTTAATTTCCATTTTCTCATTTCTCAGTTGCAGACCATGTTGTATGTGTTATGTGCAACATGACAAAGGCTTGTGAAGTTTAACTGAAAATATGGGAAGTATTGACGTTCCACACTGATAAATATTTCTCAGTGAGAAATACTTGTCATCGCTGATGGATGTTTGTCACTGCAGGGACTCTTCTTGATTTTGAAACATTTCTAAAGCCAGACTTCATTTGTACCTCAAAGTCTTCAGCAGCAATACTCATATAGTTTGTGCAGTGCAAGTCCTACAATTGAATTGAATATAGGAGGTGGAAATATATTTGGGTTCAGTGTTAATTAGCCAACATTTTAAATTTACTTTCTTAAAAAAAAAAACCCTTCCGAATCATAATCAAAAGTGTTTT